TGCCTCAAGATTTACATATTACCTAAAAGCCCTAGCCCCTCCTTCCCCCCTCCCCCGCTCCCCAATATAAGCAAGCCCTTCATGGGATTTTGTGGGAGAGCACCACCATTCAGATGCATCACCGTGGTCAATATAATCTCCATGTCTTCAATTCCACGTGTCTCCTGGGACTCTGGACTCTCTTTGTGTAAGTGGGAAACTCAAGCTGAGAAAGCCTTCCCCGCCCTCCCTGTGCTCTGGGCTCCCTGCGCTCTGTAACAGCAGTGGTCAGTGCACCAGAGCCTTTGCGGGCTGCCCCGGGAACTCAGCCGCGGCTGCCCAGCATGCTGGGTCCCCACTCTCTGCGTCCCAGCTTCTGTGGGGCTCCCTCTCTCCGCAGCAACCGCGGCTCCCTGGACGGAGTCAGTCGAGGGGCGCGGGGCACGCCCTGACCCCCGCCCATGCCCCGCGCGAGTTTTGAACCACATGCAGTCTTCTTTTATGAATAATATTAAACCAGAGAAGTATCAAATAGAAAACAGTCCTCAAAAGAAGATCTTGCTACCTGTCAGTACAATGTGTGGGACATGGCATCTGTTGAAGTTCTTGTAGTCCTAAGATAGGAATCTAGGAATCTTGACATCAGATGTTTTGTCATTAGTGAGATTAATCACGGGCTAATTACTTTATTAGAAATGTCATCTTCTCCTCTCTCTGGTAATGGGTACATTATAACCTTAAGAGAGTGAAGACATGGGACAGGGGAGATTACTCAGTGGGTAAGAGCTCTTGCTTTGTAAGCATGAGGACCTGCGTTCAGATTCCCAGCACTTACCTTAGAACCTGTGCAGCCAGCCATGTACACCTGATGCTGTTTGGACCAGAGATAGGAGGACTGATGGGCCTTGCTGGTGACTTTGTGGCACATGAGCCACAGGTTCAGTGAGAGACCCTATCTCAGGGAAGTAAGGTGGAGAGTGACAGAGCAGGACAAAATTGTCTTCTGTATGCATGCACAGCCATACCTCACCTCTCCCGACACACACATGCACACAAATACACTCATATATACACACATAAACACACACGTACACACAAACACATAGGGGCAGAGGAGAGTGAAATTTGTTATTTCTATTGCACAGTAGTAAATATGTACTTGTCATATTATAAAATTGGCTGTGATGGCATGCAGCAGTGTATATATTTTTTAAACTGAGTGAGCATATGGAATAAAAAAAAATGTGAGGCCATTCATGACAAAAGAGAGTCAGGCACGGATCCCTCTGTGTACAAGGACTTCACAGTCAATGATTTCAAGAACAACTGAATTGCTCACAATTCCCTTGGCCAGTTTGCTTTGGATGGAGTTGGATAATATACTTAGCAGGTCACTGCTGCTGTTAGGATCCTAGAGAATCCACTTACAGTTAAAGGTACTGGTTTGCAGTATCAGGCACTTGCCTAAAAAGAGATGTATGGAAAAACACACTCTCATCCCTGTTTGCTCTGCCTATTTTTCTTGCATCTTTCAAGATAATGCTTTAGGTTAAGTCTGGATCCTAGTGGCAGAAAATCCCAAAATTTTCAGCTTAATCAGAAAAGTCAGCTTATTTGTCCATCCTATGAAAGCAGGAAGAGCTCAGAGCTAGATGAAAGGTTACCTGTGCTCTGTGAAATCTTAGTAACTGATGTGCCCTTAAGCTCATTCTGTCTTCCTCAAGGTAATAGATTCCCTTTTTATGGAGCGGGTGGCAACTTTCACATACCAGAAAGCAATAGGGAATAAAGGGTTAAAAGGAAAGATCCCAGGAGCTACTTCATGATATTTCTGCTTTAATAGCTTTGGTCAGGACCTCACCATACATTTTGTTTTTTACCAACATATAAAGGACATGAGGAAATGAACCCTTCCTCTGGCTGAACATGATTGAACTCAACCCTCTACCGGATGAATGAAGGGAAGAATACATACTGGGATAAAGTTTATACCCCAGGTCTTCCTTGTCTATTATTAACAGCACCATAGAATCAGTAGGTTAAATCTTAGCATGATATGAACCACAGTGCTCATTGAAAAGAACTGTACGACTGAGATGAAGAATAAGGGCCATGAAGTCATGTATGAATCCAGAGTTTCTCAGATGCAAAGGAGAGCATCAATGTCTTCCTCTTATTTACTGTAATGTCTTTAGTGATTGATATATTCAACTCATTGAGCAATAGTAACTAACACTTCGGGACCACTTGATAATGAGTACAATCAGCTCTTATTGTTGAAACTATAAAGTGAAAGAATTGAGTGTATTGCCAGTATCTGTGCTGGACCTCTCTACAACTTGACTTTCCCTATTGAAAGTAAGCTGAGATATTCATGCTTGACTGTCAGTAAGGGAGAGTCTTAACAAATTGTCTGAATTTAGCTTAACAGATATCTTGGACTTTACATGTTTTGTACGTTTCATGGACACACCCCTATAAGCTCTTATCTGTAATGTTTTTGTAAGCTCTTACTTATTCATGTTTCTTTTGATTAGGAACATATTTATATGAATACACCCCCTTTCCTGTTGTTGTAACAAAATGGGAATCGGGCCATCTTTGGATTGATAGGGCTTTGGTGGCAACATGGAGTGTGTTTGTTATTTGCCTATAAATTAACAGACAGCTCTGAATCTCAGAACTAATGTCAATCAAAGTGGAAAAGTCTGGCATGTTTCTCATTTAGATATGGTGACAGGAGAATGGTGGGTAAGAAGCACAGCTTGATATTCCAACTTGGATGTGACAGTTTTCTTGTGATTACAAACAGCAAAGTCATTGTATTGAGAGATTTTTTTGGTGCCAACTCTTATGCTCTTTTGCTTCTTTTTCTTTCCTTCTCTAAGCCCCTCCTCTGTTCTGTGGCTTTTCTTTTGTAACTCCTCCAGACTACAGCTTTGTTCCCCCTTCTTCCACTCCTTTCTGGTCAGGTACTGCTTACTGCTTTTATATGTCGCTGTCGCTACAACTTGCTTCTGTGTGCAAATACAATATTTTGGCTTCTGTGTATGGCTTCTCATGTAAACTCATCTCCTCAAACACAGTGTTCCCTAGTGTTCCATTACCACCAAGTTCACCCTTCCCGCCATAGAGTCATTGTTTGTTGTGACATTCCATGTACATTTGTGTGTGTGTGTGTGTGTGTGTGTGTGTGTTAATACCATAAATTTCAATGTGACATTATGTGTTTTACCATGTGTCAGTGTGGAGAGGTTGGAGATGGGTGAGGGAATAGGAATTTAAAGGGAGATGAACTACTCTGAGCAACCCTTCATCTTTTTTGAGGACTAGAAGTCATAGTGAAGAAAGATCAATTTTTGTGCATTTCCATGAAGAAAATTAAAAGGACCCAGAATCTCCATTTTCCTTCCAAAGAGAAGAATAAGATTCAAAATGCATTTTTTGACATGAAGATCCATGTCATAGCTCTTCAAAATGTCCAGGCATTTTGATCTGAATTTCTGTTATTACCTGGAGAGTTAAATGACTATTTATATGGCACAGAGGCTAGATAAAATACGTTTTCTTGTGGGCTTTTTAAAAATTAACCTGTAAGTCCCTATAGAACACAGAATTCTGAAATAGACCTTAGAAGTCAGCTAGTACAAACCTTTCATTTTATAGATGAGAAAAATGTGGCCTAGAGGGGTTGTGAGGCCTGTGCAAGGTCACACAGTCAAGTCTACAATTGGGTTTCTCCATCACAGGGATATTTTTATGTGCACTGACTTTAAGAACAGTGCCTTGGCAATGGGACCATTTTCAGGAAGGAAACCATTAAAGTGGTTTGTGTCCTGAATGGTAAAATAAAATGACCTATTTTTACTCCCTTTACAGTTCTGAAATCTACAGTATTGCCATTCGTTTATCTTATGATGGACACCTGGAGACTTTAAAAAAGGCTGTCATTATAAAGCCATGAATGATAGGCCTGAGGTCCCTGTTGCCAAGTGGATAGACTGTTCCAGGGTGGCATGGGTCATTACGAGCTACCTGGACACTGGGAACTGTTATAATACAGATGGATGGTGTTTCCATTTGTTGCCTTTTCTTACACTTAAGTCCCTTTACCATTGAAGATTTATAAAGTCCCACCAGTCTCAGGGGAGCTGTTCTAAGAATCAGAGCACATATAATTGAAAACACTTTATGGCCCCCACAGAGCAACAGGTGGAGAAGTTACTACAAGGCCTGTTATGAAGCACTAGAGACCAACAAACATGCACAGCCTGAATGGAGTTTCCTTTTCAGACAAGGCTGGCTCCTCTCCTGCCACCAGGGATATTAAACAAACAGAAAACCAAGCAAAGCAATGGTACTTTTGTGCCTGGATTTTGGTTAGACATTGCAGTAGTTAGACATTGACTGGAGGTTGGTGTTTGCATGAGAAGAAGAAGTTCATGTGATCTGTCAGTGAAATCTTATGTTCATATATACAAAGTTGTATATGAATAAAATCTGAGTTGATCCCTAGATGGTTTAAACATAAAACACTTGGCTGGGGGGGGGGTGTCACTTACTTAGAAGTGATGAGATTAATTTCACATACTTTATCAGAGCTCAGAATTGTGTTGTTCAGAATTTAGCCAAAGAAGTCACCAGGTGAAAACCAGAAAGCTTCACCGCAGAGGTTCTATTGAGAAACAGAGTATAGTGCCCTCAGTTGTAAGTTTATGTTAAAGTTATCTCAAATTCATTCACATAGTCATTTCAGTTTGGCTTTGGCTTGACAGAAGCTTTATGAAGAGTGTCAAAAGCAGAACAGTGGTTATTTAACTGTCTGGAATGAACTTGATCATACCTGATGGGATTGAAACAGCAACTGCACTGCTTTCAAACTCCCGCTGTCATTGTCACTAATCCATAAGGAAGTTGAGGCTCTGCATTTAATAGCACCAATGGCAATGAGCTAATTAGGTTCTGATGGCTGGATGCAGTCAACTTCACACTGACTCAGACTCTGCGTTGTTTCTTTACAGTGTTAAGTCCCAAAGTACTGGGCATCGCCATCGCTCGATATGATTTCTGTGCAAGAGATATGCGGGAGCTTTCCCTATTGAAAGGAGACATGGTGAAGATTTACACAAAGATGAGTGCAAATGGCTGGTGGAGAGGAGAAGTAAATGGCAGGGTGAGTTGTCCCTTTGATTGCATTGGTTCTTCATGGGTAAGAAGGCTGGACAGTCACTGGCAGCTATCATGTTGTAGACTTGTCCTTTCAGTGGTCTGGCTGCCAGGGCCTGGAGGCATGCATTGTTCAAAATGGCTTGGATCAATACAGTAGGGGCCCAGAGTTGACTGGCACATAGGAAGAGTTGAGGAGCATTTCTGGGTTTTGTTTTGTTTTGTTTTGTTTTGTTTTGTTTTGTTTTAGTAGCTAAGCACCAGGGTATGCAGTTTATATAAGCATCAAACATTTCCGAAAGCTCACAATCCCACTTGGAACGACTGGAAAAGAGTACCTCTGTTCTCCATCTAGATCCTGTCCTACAAAAGAGATGAGAATCATGATGTTGAGCCCCATATAGCCCTGATGTGTGTCTTTACTTGTGAGCTAGTGGATTTGAGCCATGTTTAAACTCATTTCATTACTTGGTTGCTATCATTATCTCTATTAGGGCTATCCTAGCTGTTAAGCCATTCTTCCTACAGTGAGCATAAAATCCCAGCATAATTAGAGTGTTAGGAAAAGGAGGAATTCTGTCTGTAGAATCCTTTGAAGCAGTAGAGGCATTGATACGTCTGTTCCTTATCTTCCATAGGTGGGCTGGTTTCCATCCACATATGTGGAAGAAGATGAGTAAAGTCCAATCCAGTGTTGACCCTGCACTAAAATCTCAAAGACAACGTAAAAGAAACCTGCACTGCATTATGAGTTAACTGAAGTGTTTAAAAAGCAGCGTTCTTGGCTGTTCAACACCCTCTTTTTTCTCTTCCTAAGTCTTAATGCTGGATTTCTAAAGATGCTGGTGCTGACAGATTAATGGCTTGCCTAGAGCAGTGCAAGAAACAGCCTGCCAGTCTGTCATTGTCAGGAACCAGGGCAAAATCAACGGCTTTTCTTCCCCCCAAAGAGTCCTACAAACACATCTATCGGATCAGGTTTCTCTTACTTCATTGAGCCAGATACCATGGATCCAGCCATTAGAAAACGTTTCTTGCATATTTACTTTGTTCTCACAGTTTTTGATGATACAAAGAAACAGAAGTTTAATTTTGCTTTTTCCCAGCATGAAGAAAAAGTAGAGTCTGCCATCTGGGAAAGATCCAGCTTGCTGGAAAGATCCAGCATTTCTTGTCTTAAATTGTTCAACAGGTGACTCACTGTCTGGCAAACACTTTTATCCCCAGATGTTACTCATGATAAAATAAAAGAGGCTCATGCTCAGGTTTGCATCATAAGTGATAAATTACAGAGAGGGTTTTAATTATTCATTTGATGTCCTGATTATATTTCCACACTTCTTTATAAAGAAGAAAAAGAGAAGCACATGAAAGGAAGTATCTTTGTATTAAAGCCTCACAGCTTTTGTGATTTCATAGGGTGTTTTGGAAATGTCATGCTTGACAAAGGAATCATGGCTGGGCAGATCATGCTTAGTTTCCAGGAATCCCAGAGAGGTAGAGGTGTTTACAGAGACAGATCAAGTTCTGTAATCTATCCATAGGACATTGCTGTATAGCTGCAATAGCTATTAACGCAAGCCTTTTCCTTCTCTCCAGAAAGACCCAGGGCATATTTGCTGATTTCCACTCTTTTCTTTAATAGTAGCACAGAAGAGCTTTATTGAGGATTTGGGAAGAAAAGCACACTGAGTCTTTCATTTCTTTCTGAGACAGATGGAAAGGCACCTGATTTCTGTGTTCCCCTGGCTCCTCTGTTTTCTCTTCTGAAGCCTTTCCAGCTATGTCTTAATCTGTAGGAAGATCCACCTTCAGCATGTTTCTTTCTCCAAGCTTTCACTGTGTTCCATGAGAAGTCTAAGTATCTTCCCCCTGAGATGCATGGAATCCCTAGTTGAGGCAGACAAGATACGAACTCAGCCCTTCCATGGTGGAGTATTTCTTTGGTAGCAGTAACTGTGTTCTGACAAGATTCAGAAAATAGTTCTGCTGAGGGAAAAAAAGAGGTAGTTTTATCTTAGAAGTGATCTAGAAGCGTCTCTTGTACCAGATTTTTTTGGTCACCTCTGACACGAAAGGGCTGAGACAACCTGTTCTCTCCCATCTCACAGGAGTGCCAGAACCTGTTTGGTGGACACATCTCCCTGGAAGGGACCCCATGGGGGCTAGGACTTCTCATTTAAATAGACTCAAGACCTTTACCTCAGAATTATGTAAACTGTGATTGTGTTTTAGAACAAGTGAGCTTTTGTATATGTGTAAATGGTCATGAAAATGTATTTTATAAAATGTCTGTACAGTTGTCATGTGCTGGCAAGGTCTACTCTTGGAATGGATTCCTACCTATAAGGTCTTATCTGTGTCTTGGGAATGTTTTGTCTGTTAGTGTCAGCAAGTGTTGCTATGGAGAGTACAGCTTCCCACGGATTGAAACACTCCTGTGTACAGTATTGTAGCATGTATTGTTTATTTCAGTCAATAGACTCCCTGCCTCACAAGGGGTATGTGGTCTTCCTGTTGCATTTCACTGGCCTCAGAGTTTCATAGCAGAGGATACAAGAGCCTCTTTTCATGACATTACCAATGATGACTTTGTCTACATTTAATACTTTGTATTGAAGATTTTAAATGCCATGATCTGTGTAGATTTCTAATACCAAAGACAGACATAAATGTTTTCCATAGATTTTTGTCTTGCCTGTCTGTAGCCCTTGTGTTATATGGTGAGTTAGGATGCCATTTTACTTTGTAATATTTTGTAAATATGTCAATAAAATAGTTACTACTTGCTTTAAGAGTATTTCTTTTTATTTATTTGTGTGTGTTCACATGTGTGGGCACATGTACATGTGTGGTGCTAAGGATAGAACCCAAGGTCTTCTGTGTTCTATGCAAACAGTCTATGATTTCTTGAGGGCTGAAGATTTTTATCTTTGACGGTCTTATACCATTATATGCCAACCTCATAATTATCTAAGCAGTACAAACCCTGATTTTGGTTGGGGTTAGTTCAGAATTGCTATCAACATTATGAACTGGGAACCATAAGCCATCCTCTGCATTTGCCAGCAGCATCTACTCCATATGCTATTGGGGTGCTACATGGTGTCCTAAAGCCCTTGTGTGCAGTTAAAGCTACCTCATTATCCTGCATCATCTCTATTCTCACGTGTGGAAACTGAGGCACATTGTTAGGTTACAACATTCCAGAGGTCACATGGCTGGCAAGCAGATGACAAGACACGGGCCATCTGGCTGTTGCCAGTATCATCATTACCCAATTCTTCCACACTTTATAAGGGAAAAGAATTAAGGGTATTTTGAAGCTCACAATGCCAAAAGAAAGCTATTTGATAAATAAATAGTGACATAAATAGCTGGAAATGTGTACAGAACTCAGAATTATTCTGTCCCTCCTAGTCCCTAAAACCAAGTTTGGTCATCATCATCACGATCGTTATCAAGTAGATGACTAGATAGTTACTGTTTAACTTCTTAATTCCCTAAACATAATTCAGACTCGTTTATTAGATTGAAGTGGAAAGTTTGTGGGTTCTAAATGAATCCCTCTGAGAAGGGAATTGAATCAATCGCTGTCCCAGGAAGACAGAGTTTCTATATCAATCAGATCTAGGTTCAAACTCTAGTCCTGCCACTGACTCTCCAGAGTAAATGTTTCCTTATTTATGATAAATGATAATTATGTGAGAGCTGAAGAAGAAAAGAGCATACACATGAGAAATGCTATTTGTGTGAACATTGGGGCATCGCATGTGTTCAGAAACAATCTTGGTCTCTCCTCTGTTTCATGGACCACAAAATATGTACTCAGATGCTAAACTATGAGCTTGCTGCCTTTGTTCTCAGTACAATAGAGTGTAGACTTTGTTTCTTATGCATAGCTTAATTTTCAGCATTCAAATGACAGGCAGACTAAAAGATATATGTTCCAGAAGATTAGTATGCAAAAACACAAGCTCAGACGTGGCATTCATCAGCTCCACATGCTTTTAGCTAAGAAGGCAGAATTTTCACCCAGCTCAAAATCCTTCAAACTCTCTTCATGTGTCACTTCAGGTTGCACTGCAGCTAGCTTCCTGGGATTGTTTGGACGCTGATGGGGACGTGATATACCTGTCTGGGCTCTGGATGGCACTTTGTCTTAGTAATGCACAAGTGTCAGAACAGAGGTCGCAAAGAATTCCCTCTCTCATTAGGTCCCGTTGATTAGACCATATTTTGGGGGATGCTGTGACAGAAAAATGAAGTTCCTTTGAAGCATTCTAGATTCTGACTTAGTCAGAAAATTCCAGAATTTCTAAGCACAGTGTGACTGCAATTAATTTTGCAGACACATGGCCAGATGGCAAGAACTCTGGGTGTCAAGTTAGAATGCACATAAAGTCACCTCATATCCTATCTCATGTGTCCTGTTCAAGATGAACTCTAAAATAGCCCAGTGTCCAAGCTGAGATCCGGCTTGCTCATGTCATGTTGATAAAAGGTGCTGGCAAGGAAAGGCTTAGACCTAGATTTCTTGACTCTAAGTCATATAAACGTTTTCTAAAAGCCTCTATGCACTCTAAAATCCTGTAAGATACTTTTGATTTTCTACTTCAGTGGTTCTCATCCTATGGGTCCATGGCTCTTTGAAGGGTTGATTTACCCTTTTACAGAGGGTGCCTATCAGAAAACACAGCTATTTACATTACAATTCCTAAACATAGCAAAATTACAGTTACAAAGTAGCGAAGAAAATAATTTGATGGTTGTAAGTCACCACAGCATAAGGAGCTGTATTAAAGGGTCTCAGAATTAGGGAGACTGAGAACCACTGCTTAGTTGATTCTGCAATTCCTCTGGCTTTTCTTCTGAGAATCACCCCGTAGGAAACTGAAGAATGTGGTACTGAGTGTGACTATCAGTAGACCCTAACATAAATCCTGGGTCTGATCAAAGACTGCTTGTAGATTTGCTTGTGCCCTGAATGATCTTTTCTGAGAAAGGAAGGATGACCTGTGTACACCACACCAGCCATTTATTGTATGCTACTTCGTTCATCTCCCAGAATCATTCTGAGACTCCATGGAAGATTGATCCAGTCACCTTTGAATCATAAAATCCCTAGCTCTGGTTAAGTGGATCTTCTTATACAAGAGCTCTTTATTAAGGCTCCGGACTGTTTCACTTTTTCACATGACCCACCTCTCTGTCTATGATGCAGCAAATGAATGGTTAGGTATTTAAGCTTAGAGCCAGCCAAGCTGTCTCCACCACTGTCTAGGGTTGCCAAAGTTGCCCACGTTGCTCATCCTTCTGCATCTCCCATGGCAGCAACAGCTGGCTGGGGAGGACTAGATAAGGTAATATGTATAAAATGTTTAAGAGAACCGATTGGCAGATATGTAGCAAATGAAAGAGGTTTTTTTTAAAATGCAAATTGGCTACTATTTTATTATACACATAAAACTAAGTGCTACAAATTTAAAATGTTAACATAGATAAGGAAATAAAAGTTCTGTTTGTGGTTTTAGCCTTTGGAAGAAACATCTTGAGCTAACTTCACATTAGTAATCCCTTAAAAATTATGCACGGGTGGAGTGCCAATCAAATGCTCTACTAGAGCATAGTGTATCAGTTAGCTGCTGCTATGTAACAAATTGCTCCAAAACTTCACAGCTGAGGACAGCATTCGCTATTGTACAGTTTCTATGAGTCAGAAGCCAGCGAGTAGATTAGCTGATTATTTTCAGCTCAAGATCTCCCAACGAGGCTTCAATCAAGGTGCTTCATTAGCCAGAGCTACAGTTACTTCCTAGCCTAGCTGAGGAGAAAACAATGCATCCTCATCTTCCCTTGTATGGACTTCACCTGGTTGCCTCATGATGCGGCAGCTTACTCCATCCAGAACACGCTTCCAAGAGGGAGAACGTAGGGCGCACTTGATGACAGCTCCTATTCTTACAGAAGTGACACCCAATCACTTCCACTGGCTGCTTAAATCCAGCTCTCTCTCCAGGGAAGGGATTACACAAAGACAAAGGGTTTCTTAGAGGCCTTCCCAGTGGCTACCTACAATAGACAGGTGAGCTGAAATGTCCTGAAGTTCAATAGAATGTCTGAATGAAAGACATGGGTCATTTTGAAAACAGTTAGATAAATCTGTATTTTAGGTCTTACTAAAAGGCAGCCCCTTAAGGATTCCTTTGATCTATATCTATTGAATAACACATCCACCCAAAACCATTTTCTATAGAGGTTCAAGGATAAATCAGGTGGGGAGATCTCCCCGGGGAAGACTCATTTTTTTTTTTTTGTTCTTCCTCATTTAGGAAATTCCCTTCTTGAGATTCAGAGTGTAGGAAGAAGGATAGTTCCTGATATGTAAGACGTGGGCTCTGTATTGTATTCATGAAAAGGAAAATGAACACAGTAGCTGGGCGTGTCTTGGAATGGGACCATTGAAATTTTAAAATTAGAACTTCTTCAAGTTTCTGGAAAAATCACTTTTTTCTCTCCTGTTTAAGTCAACAGATATTCTTTTGAGTTCTACGTACAGTACAGATCTAGGTTTCAGAACACAATCCCAAACCTGACACAATTCCTGTATCTGTATAGATTGCAAACAGGAGTAAACAGGAATAAACCAGAAAAATACATAATGTGAGTGAGTGGCTGCTGAGTATTATTATTGGGAGGTGGGGGAGAAGAGCGCTATTTGGCATAGGTGACCAAAGACGTCTCTATGATTGCTTCACCTGCCTCAGAAACCTAATTTAAGTGGTAAAGGGAAAACAATAGGAATACATGAGTGCTTAGTGTTTAGAGACCCTCAGGGACCCCGAGCCACTAGAGAAGAGAGAAAAGACTGAGACAAAGTGTAAACTCCTGTGTGGTTGGAGGAGTAGCCGAAAAGGCAGATGTCATAGAGAGTAGGAATCACGGAGGGACTTAAGGGGGTTGTAAATGGGGTGAACTCATTGACACTTCACAAAATTCACAGTGGAAGTGGAGCTAGACCTGTGACATCAGCACTGCTAGCCTTCCCTCAAACTCCTGCACTCCTAGGGCCAGCACAGCAGTTCTGAAGGCGCATGCGCAGAGCCTGTTCTTCGAGGCTCCCATTCAGTTTCTTGGCTTGTTGCAGGACAGATCTAATTTGCAGCATGTGTGTGTGTGTGTGTGTGTGTGTGTATAAATATATGTGTGCATGCACGCACGTGTGTGTGGGTGCATATGTGCTTGTGCATGTACGTGTGTTTGTGTGTGGTGTGGGGTGGATGCGCACACTTTCAAATCCCCACTTCTTATATAGGTATAAAGTCACATAGAATTAGAGTCTCGTACTACTCTGTTATGTCTCATCACAATGAATTGTGAGAAAGCAGGGCACATTTGAAAAACCAGGAGGTTGCACTTGGACATCTGAATTTGGAGGGTGGATCACAGCCCAATGTGTAATTCTCCTCTTCCTTATTTTTTTCTGATTCATAGAGAATTTTTTTAAATGCTGATATTTTAACAGATATCAAAAGGGCCAAAGTGCTTGTGGAGAGAGAAGTGAGCCTAAGAGAGGTTTTTACTTGTCGGAACGCATGGAGCATCTGTCAGTCTGGCTCAGCCCCATGGGGATAACCAAAGGCTTAGCTTTGGTAGGTAAAACCAGTTCTCCTGGAGACAGTGCATCTCTGCTTATGTATTTGCCAGCTTCTCAGAACAGCATCCTCACTAGAGAATTACCTGTTTTTAACACCCTATGTGTCAGGATCTCGCACTCACTCGCCAGTAGGAGAAAGCTCC